ATATAGTCAATGTGACCTTTTAACATAACAAACGCGTTATTTTGCAATATCGACACAGACACATATAAATGATATTGATTAGAACTTAATACGCTTCTTAAATTCTTCATCGAAAGCAACAAAACAAGCCATCATACTTGGTACAGCAACCAGTCTTGGTATCAGTCCTTTCATTAGATTGCGGGGTCCCTCATTTCGTAGAATATCAAAGAATATTGTAGAGCAGCTTCGATATGGAGTATCTGTAAAAATGATAAAGTGAAAGTTGGTTTTAAACATTTTGTCTTACATATATACAGATAAGAGTGCATGTAACTAAACAAAGCTTTTGCTATTACCTAATTTAGCTCCTTGCATTCTTGTCTTCACTACATCATGAGGACAGCCAATTGCTGCTGCCAGGCAGCCTGGCACAAAACCCAATGCTATGCGTTCCAGCATATGGAGGTCAGTCTTCCCTGTCTTACTCTTGTACTGCTCTATAAACATTTCTCTTGTAGTGAATAGAGTTATGTTGAATAGAATGTCTCTGTATAGTGTTGCAGTCCATCCTTTAGTAATTCCTTTTAATCCTTGATCCTTCATGACTTGCACAACTCCTTGCTTCCTCACTTGTGAAAGGACCATAATTCTTTCTGAAGGGCAGCCTGTATATATAATAGAAGTATATTAAGGTCATTAATGCAATCTCAAGTTACCTACTACTGTTGTTGCCGCCCCTGCAATCCCTCCTGCAATTATCCATTTGGTATATTTTGCTTCTGGATACTTATTTGAGATGTATTCTCTACTCAAGTCCCAGGCATACATCTTCATGATCTTCTCTGGCATGATCGCAATCATCCTTGGTACCAGACCTATTAGTTGCATTGGATAACAATGCTGGTACAAAGTGAGCACCAATGCATGCTTACCTCTGTAAAGGAATGGTGGAGAGTCTACAGCTTGCTTCACAAATGCACGTAAGCCGTGAAAGTTGTGGCCATGGAACATCATTTGAGATTTGAGAGTGTAGAGAGGATGATGGATAGCATGTGATGTACATGCTGCTAGTCCACTTGATAGTATCCAGTTCTTTGCTGTATCCATTATGGGAAGGGGAGTAAAGGGTTGCCGGCAGCTGTCAGCTGTAGTTGGATTGTAGCTACTATTATAGTACAATCCAGTTATTCTATCATTGTGACTATGT